TTTAAGAATAATTGTAATTTTTAATAATAATTGTAACTGTTCTTCTGCTAGTTTTTTAGTAGTGTTGTATTTATTAAATTTGATACTGATTCTAGTGTTTGTAAAAATATATTTAAAAGAACGTTTACAATTATCTAACGTAAAAAATGATATTGTTTTACATTTTTTTAATTTCTAACATATATATCTCAGAAAATAAAAAAATATATTTCTTAAAAAAATATTTTAACCTTCTTAACTTTTGTTAGTAAGTGTATATGTATTATTATTTATTATTTTAATTTACTTTTTATATTTTTTTTATTTTTATAGAATGATTATATATTAATTTATCATTCTAATTACTCTATAATTTACAATTCAAATAGCGTTGAATAAAATTGACGTACTAAATTATGCATTCTAGAATTACTTGATGTAGGTCGTACTATTTTATTGATTGTTAGCTTGTTTCGATAAAATTGCAGATGAATTTATACTAGTTTTTACCGTGTTTTTCACAAGAGAAAAAAATAAAATTTTTATATCTAATTTTTCTTATTTATTATATCGTTACAGGTGGAACAGCCGCGGAGAAGGGTTACTTCGGACCATGGAGACAATGTAAACTTCTTCTTTATGGACGTGAGTGGTGCGGCCAAAGTGTCTCCAGGTTCCAACCAGTGTGTAAGTTTTATTTTATGTATGATTATAAAAATTGCTGATACTTTTATAATGCCACTCTTCAGCTGCCAGAATGATATCATTTTTCTACAAAATTTTTGTTGACGGTCAAAATTCTGATTTTGATAGTAATAGTAATTACCGTAAAGCGTTCTCTCTATCGTTTAAAGCATTCTCTCTATACATATCAATTATTGCGAGGAATATTTCCGAAGCCTAAGTGATCGAGAGGGCTAAGACACCTGTCCCGGAAAGTCTCAGGTTCGATTCCTGAGATGAGGTAATATTTTTCGCAATAAGTTCATTATATATTTTCTAATTTAATTTAAGGAGAAATTATTAATATTTCAGATTGATTGTATTCAGGTTGAAAGTCCGAAAGTTATCAACGCGCAATTATGTCTGAAATAAATTTATTTAATAAATATATAATAATGTAATATTTGAAACATCCAACTTTGACTGTAATTGGTTGTTTTATATTGAGAATAATAGTTCCATATTATGAGATCTTGAATAATATCGATTCTTATAAACATTCTGCATAGAAAATTAACAAGAAAGATAAATTGCGACATTAAATTAACATTTAGTATGGTCAAATTAGACGAGCGTATTTTTGTATATTTTTCAATTTTTCCGTAAATTTAAATGGTTTAAATAAAGCCATGAAATATTACGGTTTTTAATTAAAAGTTAAATGTATGTTGAATCAATTACAATTTTAATATTAAATGATTTTAAATATTGCATAACAATTATTTACGTTATATATCTGATCAATATAACAGCTTTGTTTAATTTTTTAACAAAATTCACAAAAAATTTATATATTGTGTGAGTTGTTAACATTAGTGAAAATCCTATGATAAATTATTCTCTTTATTCTTTTATCATTTCTCCAATCATAAAAAATGTTGCATGTGAAAAAGAGCAAGTTGTATAATTACGCAACGCCAAAAATTCCTACGACTATAGAAAGTTCCATACAGGATTACATTATAATGCAATAGAATTACGACGAAATTTTTCCTTTATTTCCAGTGGCTGTGTGGGTGGCGGGATTAGCTGCCGCTGCCGCTTCTGCCCTTTTGGGGATTCTGGTCGCTTTGGCTGTGCTTCAATTAGCGATGGCCTCTTCTGCGAAGCGAGTTGTAATTTCGTACAGTACTGCCTTAATAGGCAAAGTCGCTCTTGCTACATTAGCAAGTGAGTATAAATTAATTGTTGTAATATATTTGTAAATGAAGAGAGAGAGAGAGAGAGAGAGAGAGAGAGAGAGAGAGAGAGAGAGAGGGAGAAGGGAAAAGAAAACTTTCAAAACAATTTGAATATTTTGCTTAGCTAATTTACGAATGTAAAACCATATTTAATTACATAAGTAATCAAAATTATATTTACTTATGAAAAAAATAAAATAAAGTTATGAATTTGAAGTAAAATTTTGAGCTTTGTTTTCTGCTGAAGATGATTAATTAACTGAAACGTATTTTTTTTTTATGATGACTAATTGTTAAATATTTTTGAAGAAATACCTTAAATGGTTTAATATTAAATATTGTTTACTAAAATATTTGCACACTGTTAGTGTCGATTTTGATTAGCCAAAATTTTTCTTATTTTTGAATATAGGGAATATGTAAAATAGAATTTATTACACTTCAGCGTATTTACAGCCAAGAAGGGGATTTGATTTACATAAAATTCTTAACTCATTCATACATCCATATCTCGTCCGCAAGCTATCGCACATATATTATTATAAAATTAAAAAAAAAAATTTGTACTTATCCCTTTATTTCTCTACTTTTCTGGTTAAAAGTAACCTTTTCGCTTTTTTACTTATCTTATTTCATTTTATTTCTTTTCGCTTTCTTAGCTTTTCTTTCTTTCTTAATTATATCTACTTCTAATATAATATACTCTCGTTCAATACCTACATACATACGTTATCTGTATATTACAGACTTATCACCGTCTATTATTTAGGGAATATATATATATATATTTAAATTATTTTATAGTCCAATTTTAATGTATAGTGTATAATTGTATATTCACATCTGATATTAAGATTACGTATTTCTACTTTATGTGTATTTATTTAGTACTCATTGCATAATAGTCGTCATGGAAATTTGAAACTTTAAAAGTATATAAAATATCCGAATTATATTAAAGTATTTTAGAAATTCTTTCTATTGGTGTTCTTTCTATTGGTGCGTCGCATATTTTTAATATATATATATTTAATATATTTAATATATATATTACGGGCGTATAATATATTAGAATTATCGCTTGCTCACGCTCGTCTATTTACTGATTTATGTGCGAGCCCTTGTACGAGGCATTGAATGTGTGTGTTTGTCTACGAAAGATTATCTTATATTAGCAAGCAATTTTTTTTAGCAATTATCTTATATTAAAGCAATATTATAATGCGCTGCGACAGTAGCGCGTAATCTCTTTTATTCTTGTGTTGACTATATAACTGACTTTTCATAAGTTAAGAAATAAAATTAGTTGATTGAAAATTGAATATTAAAAATATACTATATATATAAGTTTAATAAATAAGAATTTGAACGATACTAAATGAATATTTATTAAATGTAAATGTTCATTAATATTTGTTATAGGAATCGTTAATTGACTTATAATTTTTTATTGAGTAAATATTTATTTATTGTAAGTAAATATTTAATTGGTACTGTTTAAAAAATATATATATAATAAGATTTAGTACATTTTTTCAGTGTATTTCACCAATGCGCACGCATATTTGACTCTTTCTTATTCATATAATTTTTGCACATGTTTTTTAATATCTAACAATAATATAATGAATTGCATTATAATATTGCATTGAAATATGAAATTGTAAAATTTAATATTGTATACAATTTTAATTGTCTGAATAAGATTGAAAACTGAAAATTTTGTAAATCGATTTGTTTAATTTCTCTTTTCAGCGGCATTATCGATTGTAGCAGCGAGCCTCTTTGCTCTGCAAACAGATGATCGAGCTAATAGTTTTGTCATCACAAGAGGAGAAGCTTTTTATATGCAGGTAAAGTATAATGATGCGACAAAAATGTATTATTCTTTTTTCTTTAATTTCTCGCATTTTTTAGCTGAAAATAACTTTTTCTTTTATATCTTCTTTTTTTTTAAATAAAAGAAATCAACAAATATAGATTTATTTATTATGTCGAATATTGAAGTATTGTAATTACATTATGCTATTATTATATAGGAAATAATAGGTTAATAATAGGATATATTAAATAAGAGATATAATATTAATGATGAGTTAAAATAAATAACCAATTTTATAAACATTGTAAGTTTTAACGAAAATAACTTCAACTATACAACGAAAAACAATTTTTTTATTTTTGAATTTTGTATTTTGAATTTTTGTTTTTTTTTTGTAATGATGAGAAAAGTTATAGAAATTCTGATTAAAATAATAATATTTCTGTGACATGTTTTTATTCGTGTTAGTCGAATCCCATTAGTGTAACTATGTGTGTAACTATTAATGTAACTATTAGTGTAACTAGATAATTTTGTTGTTAATTTAATTAAATTTGCATTTTATGCTTTAAATATGTGACAACTTTTCTACTCTAATTTTTTCAACATTTACTTGCTAATATTTTCAATATATGTGCATGTTATTTCCTTATTGACTTCTCTCTAATAGTGACCTTCGAGTTAACGCGATGCTGTTAACAAACGAGATAATTTTCAATAGAATGTGTTATGTATCCATTTTCAAGTTTCTAATTTCTTATACTTGATACCGTTAAAACACGTTGTTCGCTGACGTTAACACTAATCCCCGAACCTGTTGCACGCAGAAGCAGTATATATATTCTGAACTTGTTTGATTTACATCCGTACTTCATGCACATTTGGTATTAATATTAAGATATTCAAATTATCCATGTGAAATTAGCATGGCATTTTATTAATTTTCTAAAAATAATGATTTCGGTAGCACTTTCCATTGTTTTACTGTTCTTTCAAAAATAACAAAATGTTCTGCATTTTTAATATTAAAAAATAAAGAAGGTGAAAGAACTTATACCGTGCTAACTTCACGTTTCAGCACGGCATAACTTCCTCTAAAGTACCATCGAATATTACAACATCTGACAAGTATTCTCGTTTCTTTTAAGCTAGATTGATTATAATGTGACATTTCAGGACAAAATTCGCACAATTAATAATTTTACACAGGTTAGAATATTCAAACTCCACGGAAACGTGTCAATCCGATAATTTTGGGCATATTTGACAATAGTTCTGATATGATCTGCCCGAGTTTTATACGAATAAATTATTATCGAAAATTGTTTCGTCTTATAAACATTTTTTAAATAATTTAATTATCGCTACCAGCATGTCACTTGGCGGAAATGTGTCATGTTAAAAGGAAAAAATTAAACTTGAACTTCGAAATTGGATTCAAATCCTAGTTTGTTCAGAATTATATACCACGCCAAAAACTTTCTGATTGAAAATAAATGAACCGAAAAATTTTGATCATATCAATTAGAATTATGATTATCTCAACTAAAGTTATAATAGATTCAACCAGAAAATTCTGTGATTTATTCATTTTTACTACAATTTCAACTAATGCAATCAAACTTTTTCGAATTCAAAATTGTACCATATCTTAATCTATATCAATATATATATTTTCTATATCTATATATATTTTCAAATAAAAGGAAATAGTTTTTAAAAAAAAATGTTTAAAAAAACAAAAGTTATCTGAAAATATTTTGAACAAAAGTTACCTAAAGGAGAATAAATAATAATAAATTAATTTTCGAAAAAATTGATTTGGTAAATATTCCGAGAGAACTCGTTCCGATGATCTTGACCTTAACATGTATTGTCAAGGTCTTGATCCCGAATAATTTCCAAATCTTAGACATCGTAAGTGTTCAAAAAATTAGATTTCCATTTACAAAAATGAAGTTGATCTTAATACTTCTACCCAGGTCAGATCTTGTTAATCAAAATATGTCCTCCTCGATACGCAACATCATAAAAATAGGATTTCGATATTTTGCATAGTTCAGAAATTCAAAAGCATTGATTAAAATGGGATATCCTGTATATATATATATA